CTTTTAACATGGGGCGGGTCATGTGACTCCCCGCCACCCCTGCACCTTTCGAGAAAGGTCCCCAGGGGCTCCTGCCGCCGTCAGGATGCCACGTGTATTTCTGAGCATGGGTGTTAGCCCTGGCCAGGCCCTCCAGCCATGCCCCAAAGTGCCACTTGGTAGGCACAGAGGCCATTTTGCCGTCGCCATGCCTCAGAGGCCTCCTGCTCTGCCAAAGCCCCTTCCCTCTCCTTGCATGTCAGCACACCTGGCTGCCTCGTCTGCACCATGAATGTGCCTTTTGAATGTGTCCTCATCACCGTCACCTCCATCTGGCCTGTCTTTGTCAACCTAAGTGCAAGCTCCATACAGTTGGGGGCCACATCTTTCAGCGGCTGGTGTGCCCCTTGGGGGTTCAGGGCATGCTGGCGGAGGGAAAGAATCAGGCAATGGCATCATTTGGCTTAAATGGGCTTAGGGAGGAGGCTGTGAACCCCCAACCGAGGGCGGAGGTAGGGCACCTGGATGTAGGACCTTCTAGGAAATGCTGTGTGACCTTGGTTGAGTTACTTAACCTCCCTGTGTCTTTGCATTCTCATCCATAAAACTGGGATGATACCAGTTGTTGGGAGGATTCAAGTAACAGGTAACAGGAAGCGATTAGGAGAAGGCCTCATCAGATGTGCTCAGCTTGTTCGTTGGTTTTATTGAGATAGTTTTCTGCATAGCCCGCGGTCTGGGGCTTCTGCACGGGCCCGGTCATGCGCTACTTGTCTGGCAGGCTCAGGGTTACGGGTTCACATCTGTCCAGAGCTGGGGGCAGGTGTCCCTTGGGGCTTTGGGCCAGTGGCTCTGGCTAACCATAGATCCAGTAGGGTTTGCCACAGAGTTGTGCTGTGGTTTGGGGGGATGTTTCTGACCATACACGGGGCACAGACCCACCGTCGGCCTGACCAGTGGCACGTCTGAAAGGCAGAGGTAGCCCTCCACCACAAGGGCGAGGTCCTTTGAGATAGTGGAGCTGGCTTCTAGTTCTTTCTGATTCCCCTTCTTTCAGGCCCCTCACATCGAGGGAATGGTGCCCACAGGCGTTTTCTGCTGCACAGAGAGTCCTTTGTGTGCCTTGTGAGACAAGGATTCTTGAAGGCCTCCCTCCTCAGTGGGGTCTGAGGCCAGCCGTGGCAGCTTCTCCTGGCGCTGGGTAGAAATGCAGAGTCCCAGGTCCCACCCCAGACCCACTGAGTGGGAATTGGCAGGGGATGTGTATGCACCTTCAGGTGTGGGTAGCACTGGCCTGGAGCAGGGTGCTCTAACGAAAGCCTGCAGGCCAAATCCGGCCCACCACCTGCTTTTGTAAATAAAGTTTTACTGGCACACAGCCATGCCCTTTTTTGATACAAGGGCTGCTTTCACAAGACACTGGCAGAGTTGAGTAGGGGGGTGACAGAGACCGCATACTTATCCTCTGGCCCTTACAGAAAACGTTTGCCAGTCCCTGGTAAAGCACTGGTTCTCAAATCTGGCTGCCCATCGGGATAACCTGGAATTTAACATACGAATGCCTGGGTCTTGGCCCAGAGATTCAGATGTCATTGGTGTGGGGTGTAGCCTGGGCATCAGGACTTCTCAGGGCTCCCCATGAGATCTGAATGTGCAGCCAATGTCATAGGACCTTGAGAACCATGGACCTCAGTGGCCTGGGAAGCCCAGCAAGTGCAGTTCTGCCACTCTGTGGACAGGCCCAAGACCCGGCAGCCCAGCCTCGCCAGTGTTGGTCGCTGCACCTGCTGCCCTAAAACAAAGAAGGCTTTGGGGGCTGAGCCGGCTGCCAGGTCCCCCCAGCGCCTCCGGAGTTGTGAGCTGGGGCCTCCCTCTCCCTGCGCAATCTCCCAGCAGCGAGTATGAGCAGCCCTAAATCAGTCCCTCGGCCTCCCGGGTGGCCGCTGCGAGACCCTGCAGATGTTCGTCATTAAGGCTCCCGGGGTCTGTCCCACTGGAAAGCATGTTTTAAGGCCAGGGCTGCTCTGGCATTCCTCCTTTTCATCTTCCGCTACCGGACTCACTCAACGTGGGCTGCAGGGATGCCTCTCCCACAGGAGATGTTGAGCCCACAGGAAGTGAGGAGCCCGTGCACAGGGCCCTAGGCCTTGGCTGCAGGGTGGCCCAGAAGGGGCCACCTTGTGCTAGTGGGTGTTGCTGCATCCACTCCAACCAGAGGGTGAGGGTGGAAGGCACCTCTGCCCTGGGGGCTTGTTAACATGTCAGGTAAGAGGAGGAGGCAGGGCTTGGTGACAGGATTGCACTTGGTGCCTCAGTTTCCTCTTCTGTAAGATGGACGGGTGGGTGGGTAGGGGAGACCACGTGGGATGGAGCCAGGCATGTGGCACCGTGAGCGATCGAACACGGAGACATGGGGGTTGACCATCCAGGAGAGAGGGGGTTGTGGGCAGGCCCTGGCAGGGCTTGTAGAGTGTGGAGTAGGGGGCAGGTAGGACAGGTAGACGGGGCGGGCTGGCGAGTCTGCAGAACACAAACCCTAGATCCTGGCCGGGGGTTGGCTGAGACTCAGCTGGGGCTTTGGGGACAGCAGAGTCACATCCCCCACATGCTGGGCTGTCAGCCTTCTTTGCTCCGAGACCTTGAAGCTTTGCCTCTCTAAGCCTCAGTTTCCTCCTCTGCAGAATGTGGCCAGTGATCATGGCTCTCCTATTTCTGAGGCTGGAATAGTGTTTGCAAAGTACTTGGTGTGGTGCAGGGGGTGGGTGACCCACCATGACATCCCTCTGGGTCACTGTTACTCATGGTGTTTTCATCTCCATCAGGACTTCAGAGGGGCCAGGAGCCGGCCCATGTAAAATGGACAGCACAGTGCTGGGTGTATAGTTAGCTCTCGGGTATCTGTGGGGATTTTCTCCTCTGCACCAGCCTCTTCCTCCTTGGGCTTTTCTGAGGACTCGGAGGAGAGCTTCAGTGGGGAAGGTTCGTAGCTCAGGGCCTGGCCCAGGTGCACCCCTCTCCCGACTGGCCCCTGCCTGCGGCCTGATAGGTGTGGAGCTGCATTTACTGGCCATGCCAGGGCAGACATTAACCTGCTTTGTGGGTCCATGGGTGAGGCCCCAGGGGGTCATGAAGCCCCCACCAGCCTAGACGCAGGGGCGAACGGGCAGATGCTCCGGGAAGGAGGCTCCGTGGCCGCTGCTCCCATCAGGAGGGATGCTGCCCATCAGGAGGGATGCTTCTTGGCAGAGACGTAGCTGAGTGTGGTCTCAGGAGACACCAAGCTCCATGTGATTCAAAAGCCCCGGCCCTGCCCAGACTCCGGCCCTGGGCTGTTGCCAGGGACATCTGACCCAGGGAGACGGCATCCAGGCCGGGCAGCCCAGGGGGCAGGGCTCCTTCCCCAGGTCCCCACCTCTGCCCACATCGGGCAAATGTGGACAGAAAGGACACTGTAGGAACAAGCCTAAAAAACCTCCTGCCCCAGCTTCTGCCTCCAAGAGTCTTCACCTGGCGGCTGTTTAAAGGTTACGTTTGAGGGTTTGAGGTCAGGAGAGGGAGAACAGGCTGGTCCCAGAACGCCGGACACCTGTTGGGGAATCAGCAGCAACCTGGGGCGGGGAGACTGTTCCAAGTCATTGGGCCACTCTGCCCCTTCCTGGCTCCTCTTACAGAACACGGTGGTGTGGGATTCCTGGGGAAGAGAGGCAGATGCAGGCCCGAGGTTCTGCCCTGGACCCAGCAGCAGCCTCAGAGAGCCCACGGTTGCCTGCAGCCGTGAGACCCTTGCTCTGTTTCTCTGCCCCATCCTAAATGAAAAGAGACTGGAGAGAGTGTTGCGTGCAGGGCCCGCGCCTATTCCTGGCAGGAAGGAAAGGCCGGAGAAGGGGCCTCTCTCACCTTCCCGACCCCTCCTCTTCTATCTGCTTGGAGTTCTCGCTCCCTGGTTTGAAACATTGGTGTGACTGTGCCCCTGGTACACATTAAAAGGCTTTGGGGTTTATTTTTATTTCGCTTGGCTCAAAGGGATGGAAAGATGGTCTGGTTTGGCAGCTGCCTGCAGGGAGGACCTTGGGGTGTCCAAGAAAATCAGTGTGTGCTTTAAAAGAAATCAGGCGGGATGAAAGGAAATTGGGAGGCAGTGCGGGGAGGAGCTCACACTCCTTCCTCTATGTCGGTGAGGGGAGGGGCGGCGGGCCCAGAGTGGCTGGGACAGGTTGGGGAGGCAGACAACAGGAAGAGGCCCAAGTTAGGAGGCTGGCTTGGCTCCCAGCCTCTCTGATCTGCTCTGTAAAATGGGCTTGTTCTGTCCCCCTGGGGTGCCGGCATGCGAGGGAGACAGCAGGAGCGGCCACCTCCACGCAGGCCTGGGGCCTTCCTGGGCTCTGGGGAATCGGGCATCCCCCCACCTCCCCCTTGTACAGACTCAGAGACAGAGGCTTAGAGAGGTGGCCTCAGCTCTGTTGGGGGCAGGGCTGGGCCGTCAGGGGTGTGTCCCCACCTTCCCAGATGCTCAGGCACCCCTGCTGAGGCTCACCAGGGCACCTCTGGGGCCCGGATCACTTCTGCCCCTCTTAAATATCTGGGCCAGATGCGCATGTAAGCATGGCGAGGATTCTCTCATTTCAACCTCCCAGCCCTCAGCTGAGGCACAGGCATGCTGAATACTCACCTTGCCAAGGCAAAGGAATCAGCACAGAGAGGTTAAGACCCTCATCCAAGCGCACACAGCCACTGTGTGGAAAGGGCAGGAATTGAAGCCAGCACTTCTGACACCAGTGCTTCCTGCCCCTCACCCCAACTCCGCCTACCCAGGCCCCTAGGGCGGCAGGACCCCGGGCGGTGCCTCTCCCCAGCTCATGCCAGTGGGGCCTGGCTTCCCGGTTGTTTATGGCCTCTTCTGGGTGGACCCCACGTGTTTTTTTCCTCCTCCCCAGCTCAGGCTGAGCCCAGGTGCAGAGATTCACCTGTTCATGGTTTCCTTCCCTCCCCACTCCCCTCTGCCCTCCCCCGGGGTCTGACAGCAGCAACAGCAGCAGCAGCAGCAGCCCATGCCCCGCAGCAGCCAGGAGGAGAAAGATGAGAAGGAGAAGGAAAAGGAGGCGGAGAAGGAGGAGGAGAAGCCGGAGGTGGAGAACGACAAGGAAGACCTCCTCAAGTAAGGCAGCCCGCTGTCCCCTGCAGGGCCCGGCTGCTGACCCAACCCAGGTGGCACACGGGTCTGGGGAGCCCTTTGTAGAGATGGGTGGGGCGTCCACCAGTTGCCCGTGAGCAGGGGAGAGGGCTTTCTGCTCGGCTGCCCCTGACAGCCCCCCTTCCAGAAGCCCTCCCATCGCCCTCCTCCTCCTTCCCGGCTCCCCCCCATATCCGCTCTCCCTTTCTTTCTCCAACCCTCTGGAGACTTTAGAGACTGATAGCTCATTTGAGCTCCACTCCTGAGCTAATAAATCCAGGCAATGACTTTGGAACTCTCTGCCTCCCCTCCTCCTCCCGCTCTCGCCTCCTGAGGCGCCAGGAGGGGGGAAGGGGGGATCAGAGGCACTCCTGGAAGGACTAGGTGTGCAGGCGGCTGCTGTCACCTTTAGAATCATTGATGGCAGTGTGAGTTCTTGCAGATCAAGGCACAGCCTCACCGTGGGGGCCGTGACGGCCTCCTGTGCCTGCCAGGGGCTGCGGGAGTGCAGCCAGCTGGAGAAAGGGGGGCGGCACGACTTAGCGCCAGGTACCTGTAATGGGCTCAGGAATTTGGCTTCAGAGAACATCTGGCTTCCTCACCCCGTCTCCCAGACACTTCCAGCAAGGGCCTTTCAGGAAGATGAATGGGAAGGTGGAGGTGATCAATCTGAGCCTCCCGCAGTAAAACTCTCCCCAGTTGCTTCTGCAAGAGCCCCAGCTTGTGTATCGAGGTTGCGAACACCCCCACACACCTCAACTAGGCCTGCAGGCTAGGCCTGCATAAAACCGGCAAGAGAGTTTCCTCCTGCCAATGCCTAAGACACCTGGCCCTTGATAATACTGAAGGCCAATGTATTGCCTCTTATAGAGCCCCTCTGGAAATAGCTCCTCTGTGGTGAATAAAATGGCCCTGTAAATTGCTGCCAGCCCACACCTCCATTTAGTTCACCAAATAGTCTTGCAGACAGTATCTATTTGGTGCATAAAATGGTCTTGCAGATAGCCACCAGCCCAGAAGGAAAGTTCCCAGTACCTCCCATTTGGGGAATAAAATAGCCAGCCAATTAACTACCTGTCCACGTGGCCTTATTGGTGAATTAAGTAGTTGATAGCCCAGGTTACACCCCCTATCCGTTCTTTTTTTTTTTTTTTTGGAGACAGGATCTTGTTCTGTCGCCCAGGCTGGAGTGCAGTGGTATAATCATGGCTCACTGCAGCCTCGACCTCCCAGGCTCAAGAGATCCCCCTGCCTTAGCCTTCCAAGCAGCTGGGACCATCAGCATATGCCACCACACCTGGCTAATTTTCTGATATTTTTCTTTTGTAGAAATGGGGTCTTGCTATGTTTCCCAGGCTGGTCTTAAACTCCTGGGCTCAAGCGATCCTCCAACTTTGGCCTCCCAAACTGCTGCAATTACAGGTGTGACCCAGCACACCTGGCCGCAACTCCCTTTTGAGAAATAGCCTGGCATTGTTCTGCCAGCTGTACTCCCACGTCTGGTGAACGGGGAGGCCCTGCAGACCGCCCCCGGCCACCCTTACCTCAGGCCTCTCCCTGTCTTTCTTAGCATCTGATTAGCGCCACTGCTGGCAGGCAGTGCAAATCCAGCTGAAGAAACGGTCTCCTCCAGTGGCCGTTTGATTTCCCGGCTCAGGTGAAACCATCCTGTCTCCCCTCTCTGGTCTGTAGGGAGAAGACAGACGACACCTCAGGGGAGGACAACGACGAGAAGGAGGCCGTGGCCTCCAAAGGCCGCAAAACTGCCAACAGCCAGGGGAGACGCAAAGGCCGCATCACCCGCTCAATGGCTAATGAGGCCAACAGTGAGGAGGCCATCACCCCCCAGCAGAGTGCTGAGCTAGGTGAGCCAGGGGCCAGGATGCAGGTGGGGGAGGGGCTGGAGACGTGGCGGGTTGCACTCATATGAAAGTTTCGTGCAATTTGAGTTAATTGGCAACTGCCAAGGGGCTGACGTAAGACATGGTTAGGGTCAAATCCCAGTGCTAATTACTGGATGTGCTGTGTGACCCAGAGTGAATTCCTGAACCTTTCTGTGCCTCAAGGTCCTCATGTTCTCAGTGGGAGAAATCGGTGGTTACCTCTAAACATGGAGGGAGAGTTGTAGTCACTTGCTATGTGAGAAGCACCTAGAACAGTGCCTGGGGTGTAGGAAGAGCTCAGTGGCTTCAACCAAAGTGATTTCAGAGCATGAAGATGTCACATAAAAAACCCAATGACCAATTCTGGATTTTTTGGTTGTCGTTTTTAAAACAGAAGATCTGGCCACGCGTGGCCCAGGTTGCCACAAGGTGGCAGTTGTTGGGAGCCAAGTAACCAGCACCCCTTCTTAGAATGTCATGGGCTCTACTTGTCCCCACCCAGCCTCCACCCTGGTAGGCATCTGGGTTTGTACCTTCACTTCCGTGGGCCTCGGTTTCCCCTTCTGTTGAGAAGGGTGTTCATCCCTCATTGCCTTCCCAGAAAGTGGAAAAAAGTAAGAGATGATGTCAGTGGCAGTTCCCAAGATTCGCCACAGGGGGCAGCGGTGTGCTCCTGTTGTCTCTACTTTGTTTAGCTGTTAGGCTCCAGCCCTCCAACCACTGCGGGAACCCACCCAGGGGCCAAGCGCTCAGGCCGAAGCCCCACCTGCCAGGGCTCATCCTCAGGGTGGAGATGCTGCTTCATCTCCCACAGACCCCCACCGTCCCCTAGGGTCCGGCTCACACACCTGTCTCTTCTTCCCATGGGATGTAGTTTGGGCCTATTTCGTAAATGGCCCACTTGAAGCTCAGAGAGGAAACATGGCCTCTCTAAAAATTTCAGTGTAGCTGGCCGGGCACGGTGGCTTACGCCTGTAATCCCAGCACTTTGGGAGGCCGAAGCGGGCGGATCATGAGGTCAGGAGATTGAGACCATCCTGGCAAACACGATGAAACCCCGTCTTTACTAAAAATACAAAAAATTAGCCGGGCTTGGTGGCGGGTGCTTGTAGTCCCAGCTACTTGGGAGGCTGAGGCAGGAGAATGGCGTAAACGCGGGAGGCGGAGCTTACAGTGAGCCGAGATCGTGCCACTGCACTCCAGCCTGGGCGACAGCGCGAGACTCCCTCTCAAAAAAAAAAAAAAAATTCAGTGTAGCTGGGATTAGAACTCAGCCCCATTGGCCACAGAGCCTGTGTAGCTCCTGTAGGTATTTTCCAGCCGCCCTTTGGTGGCAGTGTACTTGGAGGCCCAGGGTGAAAGGGAAAGGGCTTTCTTCCTGCCTGATCTCTGGGGATAGTGCTCTCGGACCCAAGGCTGATGCTGGGGGCTCAGCCGCAGGGTGGAAAACACACTCCTGGGCCTTCCACATCTCTTTTGGCACCGGGCACCCTCAGCACCCCGGCATCCCTGGCACCGCTGGCTTCTGTAGGCTTCCTCTGGGAGTCCTGTGGGGAGGAACGGGAGCATCGATGAGGTCCCAGAGAGGCCCAGGCTGTGGCTGCAGAGATAGGGGAGGCTGGGGTGGTTCTGGCCTGTCAGGGGTGATGGGGCTGCCCATGGGGGTGGGGGCTGTCTCCCCTCTTCTGCTGGAACCTTCCTCCACTCCTCAGCCAGCCTCTATTGGACACATACTCCGCCTGGCACAGTTCCAGGCGCTGAGTCCATGAACTGACATCCCTCGCACCCACCCCACTCACAGGTCTTAAGCAACTGGAGAAGAAGGACCAGGGCTCACATCCAGGGGAGCTCGGCAGACAGACCCAAAAATAGTGCCACAGCAGAGACACAGCCACCTCCAGCCAACCCCAAGGCCAGGCTGTGTCCCTTCCCAGTGACACCAGAGGCCCCTCCTTGTACTGGATGGGTGGGGGGTACGAAAATTACCCTCTGGGGCAGGGCTTCTCCACCACGGGCGATTTTACTCCCCCACTGGGGGACGCCTGGCGATGTCTGTGAACAGTTTTGATTGTCACAGTTGGAGCGGGGCCGCTGGCATCCAGCGTGCAGAGTCCAGGGTTGCTAAGCATCCTGCCGTGATGGGACAGCCCCACAGTCATGGAAGAGCTGGGCTCCGAGAGGGTACTCGGTCAGGTGAGGTCCTGGCCCACCTGAAGCTCGTGTCCCACGGTCACCAAGTCACCAGGTGACCGCTTTCCCAACAGAGTACAGGCAGAGGCAGTCATGATCAAGGCCCTTGACTGCTTCAGTGTCACCTTCTATAAAATGGGGTGATGGCAGGTGCCCCGACCTGGGCGGCTTGTGTGGAGGTTGGCCCCGACCAACGGCATGTGGGACTGCCCAGCACAGCCCCAGCCCAGCATAAAGGCTCAGGAGTCAGGTGCCACGATGGGTACTGGCTGGGGAGGGGCGCCTGAAATGTGGCCTTCCCATGGGATTCAGAGCCGTGGGGTGACACCGTCAAGGCCTAGTCCACTCCCTCCCTGGCTCAAAGGAGAGAAAAGGGCGGAAGGCAAAGTGCCTCCTTTCCCGGCTCCTGCCAATCACCTGGCATCTTCTTTTCAGCCTCCATGGAGCTGAATGAGAGTTCTCGCTGGACGGAAGAAGAAATGGAAACAGCCAAGAAAGGTGAGGGGTGTGCACAGCTTTAAGCCTTGTTGGTTTGCGTCCAGGGCGCTTGAAACTCGCGTGCTGGGGAGGGTGTTGACACATTTGGCCTTGAACCAGGGGCTGTGGTGAGGCCTCTCGTGAGGCTCTGGTTCCGGGCTGTTCTCAGGCTTGTCACCGTGGAGCCTCAGTTTTACCCTCCTGAAAATGGGTCTGTGCAGCTGCACTGTCAGGCTAGGCTTTGTGACTTGAGGGCACAGCCCAGAGAGACACAGCCTGTGCTGTGCATGTAATCAGCGAGTGGCTTCTGGGTGATCTCTGTGGCCAGCACCTCCTGGCCTTGGGGACAGAGCAGCGGCAGCACACCTGGGTGCCTCAGGACAGTCAGAGCTTGCCGGCGGCCATTTCGGAAGAGTCCTGGGGTCAGGGAGACCTGCAGGGCGTTTGTCCAGCCCTTAGGCAGAGCCCCGAAGGCCCCATCTGGGCTCAAGTGTGCTGGGGCTTTGGAAACCTGTCTTAGGTTTGAGCACCCAGTCTGGGTGATGACGGGTTCTGGAGTGGATGGGGACACCCAGGCTGCTGGGGACAGTCGTGGGAGCGGGTCACATGGCAGGGAGCCAGCAGGCGTTGGTGCTGGCAGCAGAAGCCATTCCCAGTTTGCAGGTGGCCTTGTGATGTGCAGCACGGCGGAGGCTGGGGCCCAGTTCCTCCTAAGCCGGAGACCGTCTCAGCTGTGCTGTCTCCTGGCCAAGTTCTTTACTTCCCAGCACAGTGACCTGACTCTGGGCCTCCATTTGCCCGTCTGTTAAGTGGGAGGGGCATCCAGGTTGGCTGTGAGGAATCAGATAACCCTGTGTGAGGGCCCACAGTGGGCTGAGTCGGAGCGAATCTCCCCCGTCCCTCGCCTGTACCTGGCCTAGGGCAGGGGCTGTGGGAGCCGGGGCATCACTGGCAGCACTGCTGAGGCCGGGGCGGCACCTGGCTCCCACGGCGCGCTCGCTCTCAGTTATCTAAGAGGTGGGGCATGTTCCTGTCCCCGCCCATGTCCCTGTTTGTGGGCGAGGAGCCAGGAAGCAGAGGCCAAGGAGCGCCACGGGTACCGGAGCTGGTGTGTGCGGCCGGGAGCAGGCCCAGGCCCCCACTCCCTGTCCCCGCCCCGTGCTTGGTCCCGTGGCCCTGCTGGAGTCGAGGCTGTCTGTGACGTGCGGTTTCTTTGTGCAGAAAGCTCCAGGTCGTGACTTACGGAGGGAACAAAGGCCCTTTATAGCGAATGCTCCTGGCACATAAGGGCAGGTGTATCTGAGAACAGGCTGGACCACGGGGCTTCTGGACCCGGACCCGCCCTCCACTATAGTTGTGGGGGGTGCTGAGGGTCCCCACAGCCCTGAGAAGACCCCCATAGCCCCCGCCCTCACCCCGGGACCCTGCCCCTCGCCCTCAGAGCTCCTCCAGGGGCCCTCTGCCCTCCACCCCCCAGGCTGAGGTGAGCCTGGACCCAGAGAGACCCTTACACCTTTCAGGAAGGAGGGCCCGCCTGCCGCTGCAGTGGGTCCGGCTCTGTGTGTGGTGGGCGAGAGGCATGCCAGTGGGGCCTGGGCACGTATCCAGCTGGTAGGGCCTGGGGCTGCTGTCAGCCCCCAGAGAGGCCAAGTTGTTTCTGTGTCTTAAATGTCCACTTGGTGGTTTCTGGTATGTATTTCATTATAGGCTGCAAAAGAAGCTTTACTGAGACCGTGTGATTCCCCCCGCCTTTTATTTAATTTTGATACGATACACATAACCTGAAGCTCACCATTCTAACCACTGGAAAGTGAACATCTCAGTGGCATTGAGTACATCTGCATTGGTGTGCAACCCTCCCCACTATACTAGTTCCGGAACTTTTTCTCACCCCAGATGGAAATCCCATACCCATTAGCAGTCCCTCCCAGGGCCCCGCCCCAACCCTGCCAGCCCCTGGCAGCCACTAATGCACTCTCTGTCTCTGTGGATTGGCCTGTTCCGGGCGTTTCCAATGAATGGCATCCTACAGTGTGTGGCCTTTTGTGTCTGGCTCCTTTCTCGGAGCGTGATGGTTCTGAGGTTCATCTGAGTAGCTTTGTATGGCTGAATAATATTCCATCACCTGCGCAGACCACATTTTGTCAGTCGTTCATCTCTTGGGGACGTGCAGGTTGTTTCCATGTGGCTGTTGTGAAGAGTGCTGCTGTGAGCATTTGTGTAAAATTATATGAGATTTTTAATCATACGTGAGTCCCTGGGATCTTAGCCTGTTGGCTGGGAGATTGCCCAGAGCACCCACCCATAGGAGGACTCCACGTGGACGTCCCCAAATGGTCAGCCCCGGGTCCCACCGCCTCTCCATCCCCTCTCATGTCTCCTGCTGTCACCACCACCTCTTCACCAGTGACCCCCCCATTGCCTGAGAACTGGGAGACAGCGCCTGCCCTCTCTTTGCCTTCTGGAAGGGCAGATCTGGAGGCTGGGAGGACGGCTGGGGATGACTCACCGGCAGAGAGGAGCCCGTGTCCCACCATCTCAAGGTTGGGTCCTCAGTGACGACAGTGAGCTCATCCTGGGTTCTGCCCGTGGAGATGGCAGTGAGAGTCCCCTGGGGGCCGTGCACGCGGAGGCCCTGCTCAGTGACATTTGTAATGATGCCGTGAGCAGCAGCGTGCTCGTCTGCCGTGAATTACAGCAATCTGGACAATTACTGCTCAGGGTGGCTGCTAATGGCTGTGTGTTCCAGGCGGTGGCAGGAGGGAGCGGGGGTGGGGCGGGGAGACAGGTGCTGGCAGCCCCCAGCAACTCCTCCATATAGAGGGTGGGGGTGGAGAAGCTAGGAAAGTTCTGGAGCCCCCGCCCAGAAAACCAAGAGTTAAGAAAAGGGACTGGAGAAGCGGCTATTGCTGAGGCAGATGGTCTGCGCCCATCCTTTACCCATCATTTCAGCAACACAGTGCCTAACCCTCTGTATGGCAGGGGCACTCAGGAATGAGCCAGCCCCACCCCTCCCTCGGGGAGCCTGGGCAGATAAGCGGCCAGGTTTCCCCAGGGCCTTCGGACCCCAGCCTGCCTGAAGCCTCTGCAAGACTTTAGCAGCACGGCCCTGGAGGATGAGCAGCAGTGGGGCCCCATCCCTCGGGAGAAACCAAGTCTCAACCGCTGGATGTTTCCGCTGTGTGACCTCAGGCAAGCTGGTCAACCTCTCTGTGCCTCAGTTTCTTCATCTGTACAGTGGGAGTCAAGGAGCACCCACTGTGTGTTTCCTGTGGCTGCCATAATAAAGGGTCATGAACTGGGTGGCTTAACTATATATTCTGTCACTCTTCTGGAGATGAGAAGTCCAAGTTGAAGGCATCCGAGAGGCTGCATTCCCTCCAGAGGCTCTGGGGAGGAGCCTGCCTTACCTCCCCCAGCCCCTGGCACCTGCTGGCAGCCTTGGCGGTCCTTGGCTCATGACCGTGTCCCTGCAGGCTCTGCCTTCGTCTTTGTGTGCCTTTCTCCCTGCGTGTCTCTGTCCACATTTCCCTCTTCTTACAAGGACCCATCCCAATCCAGTATGACCCCACGTTGACTTGATCACATCTGCAAACATCCTTTTTCCAAATAAGGTCACATCATAGGTTCTGGTGGACATGAAGCATTGGGGGATGCTCTCCAACCCAGCACACCCCCTTCATGGGGTTTTGGTGAACGTACGTGGAAGAGCCGAGGGCAGTGCCACCTGGGGCATACTGACTTCCCCATCACTTTGTAGCCACAAGCAACTCCTTAGCCCCCGACCTCGGCCTGGCCCATCTGTTTCACCCTCAGTTTCCATCGTACTCTCAGATGAGGCAGAGATGCTACCTCCCAGGGGCGCCTTAAAGGCGGAGCGAGCCACATAGGTACAGTCCTTGGTATACAGTAGGCACTCAGAAGTGGCAGGCTGTCAGCTTAGGGCGCAGTCTCCGGACCTTGCTCCCTAGGTTTGGGTCCCTGCAGAGTCTGCCTCCTGCAGAGTCTGACCCTGAGCAGGTGCCTGCACCTCGGGGCCTCAGCCCCCCGCCACCTCTGTCTTCACCCAGGGGATAGGGGTCAGAGGTAAGTCACCGGCCAAGCAAATGTACAGTGACAATGGGAGGAACCTCCATGGTGCTGGGGGCCGCCAGTCAGAGGGCTCCCCCGAGGAAGGGGCTGACACCCAGAGCACGAAATAATAGTGAATATCACCCAATAACACCGTGGAGGCCGTCCTGCGTGCCGGGCACTGCTGGAAGCTTTGTGTGTATGAAGTCACTTCATCTCTACCAACCTGACTAGGAGGTAGGTGCTGTTATTACTTCTGTTATTCAAATGAGGATACTGAGGCCCAGAGAGGTTTAGTTCGCAGCCCGGGGTCACACAGCTGTGAAGTGGTAGAGCTGGGATTTGAACCCAGGCATTCTACTTGCAGAGTAGGAATGGGGTTGGTGTGAGGGCTGAATGAGTTAGTCCATGAGCCAAGCTGTTGACCAGATAACAAAGGCAGGATAGGCATGTGCAAAGGCCGCGTGGCAGAGGCAGTGTAGCCCTGTGAGAAGTGATTGAAGCCCAGAAGGTAGAGGGACCACCGGGAGCCTGGCCTTGCCAGCCTGGGATGGAGTTTAACTATTACTGTAGAGCGTGGGAGGCCACTGGGGAGGGGCTAGGGACATCATGGCTGTAGGGTTTCAGGTGGGCAAGTGAGCACCTTCCCTTCTTGCGTGCACGGGGCTGTGGCTGCCTGCCCTGAGGCTCACGCTACCTGGGGACCGAGAATGTTCAGGAGGCAGCTTCCCTAGGAATTGGGCAGCTCTGGGGAGCTGGCCGCCTGCCCTCAGGCCCAGCGCCACGTGGGGAAGGAGGGGCAGGGCAGGAGCAGGGCTGGGATGAGGGACTTGGTTCCCCTGGGAAAGGTCAGCCTGGCCTGGCTTGGAAGCCCAACCCAGCTGTGCGAGAGGCCTACGGCTCTGCTGGCAGCTCCTCCAGGCCCCAGCCCTCTTCTCTGGCGGCAGAGA